GAATGGAATTCCTGAGGGGTTCTGGATGTTCCAGGGATCCCTGACCATTCCCTGGGATCAGAGCCTGATGTCCCCTCCTGGTGGGAACCTCAGAAAGTCCCTCCTAATCCCTCTTTTCTCCAGGATCAGCATTCCCAGCTCCCTCAGCCTCTCCAGGAGCTCCAAACCCTTCCCTGGCCATGCTCCATCCTCTCCATTCCCTCCCTGGAGCGATCCCACCCGATCCCCGATCCCACGGAATGATCCAATGGAACGATCCTGGGAATGCTCCTGGGAATGAGGGAAGAGCTGCCAGCCCTGCCCAGGGCCTCACCACTTCATCAGGAACATCAGCTCCCCGCTGGAATCCGTGGCTCCGATGATTCGCTCCGGCTCGAAGCCTCGGGCGAAGCCTCGCGGTTTCTCCGACTGGGAAAAGGGGAGGAAATTCCAGGGGTGAATTCCTGGAGCGCTGTTCCTCTCCAGGGAGGAGCAGGATGGAATTGCAGGGATGTGGGGACGATCCCAGGGCTGGGAAGGATCAGCTGGGGAAGGGAAGGAGCCAGGGAGAAACTGGGAAAGGGATGGAGGGACAGGAGACAGGGAATTGGTTCTGCTGGGAATGGACTGGGAACGGACTGGGATTTTCCAGGATATTCTCTTCCTGCCCTGCTGAAATTCCTTGGGAGCACCAGGATTTTCCATGGGAACACTGGGATTTTCCCACCCAGAATTTTCTCTCCCTGCCCTCTTGGAGTTCCTTGGGAACACCGGGATTTTCCCTGGGATAGGAAATCCTTGGGAACACCGGGATTTCCCCTGGGATAGGAAATCCTTGGGAACACTGGGATTTTCCCTGGGATAGGAAATCCTTGGGAACACTGGATTTTCCCATTTTCCCTCCCTGCTCTGCTGGAATTCCTTGGGAACCCCACGATTTTCCCACTTTTCCCTCCCTCCTCCTTCCCAACCCTCCACAAAAACCCCCTGGAACACCCCAAAAAACCCAACCCCTTTCCCAGGGATATTTTTTTCCCCCTTGGAATCCTTTTTCCCGGATCCACCCTCACCTCCTCCTTCTTTTTCTTTGGCTTGCTCTCCTCCCCTTTGTCCTCCGTGTCCGACTCGGCCTTGCGCTTGCTGCCCTCGGATTTCTCGCTCTCGTGGGCGGTTTTCTGGGATTGCAGGAATTCCGCGATCAGATCCGGGCAGTCCAGGTTCTCCTCGGGCTCCCAGGTGTTGTCCTCGCTGCCGGGAAACGACAAATCCCTGCTTTTTCCCACTCTGGTTTTATTGGGAAGTGCCCGGATTTGGGATGCTGGAGGGGAGGGAGGATTCCTGGGGGCGCGTTCCCGGATCCCGAAATCTCCGGGGTCGTTCTGTTCCCGGGGCAGGAGAATCTGGGATTCCAGCAAAAACTCCAGAAAATCCGAACAGTGGTGGTTGGAAAATCCCTGGATTCAGGGCTGGGAAAACTCTTGGATTCAGGGCCAGGAAATCCATGGATTCAGGGCCTCGAAATCCACGGATTCAGGGCCTCAAAATCCACGGATTCAGGGCCTCAAAATCCACGGATTCAGGGCTGGGAAATCCCTGGATTCAGAGCTGGGAAAAGCCTTGG